TATAAATTTAAAAATCTTTTTTTTTTTTTTTTGAGCGTTAAAACTTAATTATAATTTTATATAGAAGAATCTTTTATCTCTCCATTACTTATAAGCAGCCTTAGCACTCATTTTTTTTTCTAATAAAAAAAACACATTTTGGCTATAGCATTCTTATAAAGTTTATTAATAATTTATTTTCTACGCATATAAAATATGCGTTTAACAAATTGTGTTTAAGATGGTGGTTTAAACTATCTATTTTGAAAGTTTTTTTATTTATAGATGGAGACTCACAATAAGAATTTGATTCTTCTTTTCAGGGTTTGTGGTTATTTAGTTGGGAAAAAAAAGTACTCTATTAGAACAAACCAGAGAAATAAAGTTGAAAAGGTGTTTTTATGTCTTGCTATCAGATGAGATAGAGAATGTTCATCCATCTAACATTTGTCACAAATGTTATGATACAATAAACAATGTCATCAAAAGAATGGCATCGACAACACTTCTTTCAAATACGAACTTGAAACCTCAACAGGCAGAAAAACTCAGTAAAGGTGTAAATTTTACTAAATCAAAAAAAAAATGAATAAAAGACTTATTGGTCGCCCTGTTCACCAGCCTGGTGTTTGTGAAAAAGTTTGGTTGTTTTCAATGATTGCTGACGTTAAAAAAAGCATTGTTGTAGTACACGACTCAGAAATAAATGTTGAAGAGCTAAAAAATGAGTTTAATCCACATTTACAGCTTTGTCAGTGTACTGTGGTAAAATACCAAAACAGCCAGTAACTTTAATAAAATGCGAACACTTATTTTGTTTTTTTTGTTTAGTAGAAGATATAAAGGTAAACCTTCTGAAGGAAACAATATGTCCAAAATGTAAACTGTTTATTTTACCTGAAGATTTAGTGACGAAGCATCAAAAACAACTATATGAGTCAGAAATTCTTCAATTAAAAAACACATAGAGGTTATGTCTGGTATATCAAATGATGCAAAATGCTGCCAATCATCAAAGCTGCTAAAATCATTTCAAACAGAGACAAAGGGTTTGATATTGGATAATTTATATACTGAGGCAGTAATAATTACTGCAAATAACATGGTAGCAATGAAAGCAGATTTGTGCATACCTTGGTAAAAGCTTAAAACAATATTAAAGTAGTTATATTTTTATATGAATTTTATTCTATATTAATTTTTTATAGCATGGAATATAGTATTTTTGTTTCTGTGTTTGAAGGTGGCTGAAGAACTTTAATATAAATACAGCATCATATTCTTCACAAAGATTAGTTGCTTAAAAATTATCTGGTGATGACCTAATTGTAGAAAATCCACTAATTATTTTTGAAAAAGTAGAGAAAGCAACATTTGAAATAAAATACGTATCTAGGGGCTATATTGAAAATTTACCAATGCATATATTAAGACATCTTGATCAATTAGAAAGGTGATTTTAACAACCAATAGTTTTCAATTTTGTTTTTAAATTATTTTTTTAAATTTTGTGTCATCATTCGTGTATATTATTTAAAACTAAAACAGTTGCAAATTTATTATTTAATTATATATTTATTTTATAATATACTAGTCACTTATTTAGTAATGTATTATTTTTATGCAGTTGTAAAGGACTTCATTGCTAATTTAAAGGACTTCATTGCTAATTTAAATTACTAATCATTCATAATTTTTTTCCTGAGAAAGAAATACAAATTAAAATCGGAGGTGATTATGGTAGGGGCAGTTTTAAAATGGCTTATCAGGTTGCAAATACCTTAAACTTAAATAGCAAAGACAACACTATAGTTTTTAGCATCTTCGAGGCGAAGGATTAAAGAATCAATAAATAAGTTACAAAAAAAATAGTTATTTTAAATAATTACTTATTATTTATAGATAAACAAATTATTGAAAAGTAGTAATGTTTAATATAAATGTTATATAAACAATATTTGTAAAATTTATAATAAAGCATAACAGTTATTAAAATAAATTCACAAAAGCTCAGGCCTTGTGATAATTTACTTAACTGAAATTGCACTAAGCAATTTCAGTTGCAGTAAGCAATTTCAGCAAAAAAAATTTTTTAATTATTCTAATAATATTTATAAAAATCGCTCAACCTTAAAAAGCGGTTGAGAAAAGAGGGGAGGGGGAAACTTTACGCCTAATACTCAAAACAAGGCCTTAGCTTTTATGATAATTTGTTTTAATAACTGTTATGCTTTATTATAAATATTAATATTACATATATTTTTTATACAGCATTTATATTAAACATTTTTATGCTACAGGGATAACAGTAGTAAAGTATTTGTTTTTGGAGACTATGGGTTTTTATGTGCACTCTACGGGATTTTAGGAGCTACAGGTGATTTTATATCTTTATAAATAATCAATAATCTGTTTTTTGTATTATTCACTAATTTTAAGTTATATAACTGTAGGCTAAACAATTTTAAATTCTTAAATTTATAGAAGTTAATAACGATTTGTTAAACGTTTATATACTAAT